GGCTGGGCGGGGCTCTGTCCGTCTGGTTGGGGTTCTGCGGCGGGGCGTGTCGAGAAGAGGCGTGGCTCTGTGGCTGGGGCGTGGCGGGAAGGGCGTGGCTCTGCGGCCGGGGCGTGGTGGGGGCGGGGCTCTGCGGCAGGGAGCTCGGCTGGGCGGGGCCTCACCAGGAAGAGGTGGCGGTCCTGGGCAGTGCCGTTCTTGGCAGACAGCTTCAGGATGTGGCCCTCCTTGATGAGCTCGTTGGCGGGGTTGACGATGTCCTCCTCGCCACCAAGTCGCTCATACACCTCCAACAGCTTGTGCATTTTCTCCTGTGACAGACACAGGGCTTAGGCCACCACATGGGCACAGGGACCAAAGGGCCCGTGGTGGCCACCCTGCAGGTGCGGCCCAGAACCAAGATGGGGCAGCAAGCATGCCGATGAAGAGGTGGGAGGGACACGCCAGGTGCCACTCAGGCTGGGCGTTAAAGAATGAAATGAAGTCGCCCCGCAGAGAACGACGAATAACAGCCACTAACACCACTGCGATGGGCCAGGCTGGGTTCCTCACGATACAGTTATTGGCTCAATTCCAGCACCGACCCTATGACGTAGGTGTCATTTTACCCCAGTTTAGACAAGGAAACTGAGGCATGGAGAAGTCAAGTGAGTTTCTGAAGGTGTTTCTGCTAGAGAACAGGGACTGGCCCTCTCATGACCTCTACGCTGCACCCCCGGTCCCTCTGTGGTCAGAGGAGGTATTTCCGGTGGCTGCAGCTTTTGCCCTGGACCGTCATCACTGCCTGTGGTAACCTTGCCTGGTTTCCTGTTCCTCTCAGACCACGTGGCCCAGGGCCGTCAAGACACCAGACCTCTGCGGGCTGGAGGTCATCTTCGTCTGGCCTCAAGACTGCTTGTGTGGTCACATGGCCACGCGGGTTGTGATAGGAAAGGGTTGGCAACCTGTGGCCCCAGCTCTGAGCCGAGAGGCCATGGGCCCTGCCCTGAGCTGCCAGCACCAGGGCTGGAGCTGGGACCAAAGGAATGAATGCAGCAGAAGGCAGAGCTGAGCCTGCAGGAACCTCAACTCAGTGACACAGAGCCTGGACCTGCGGAGCCACAGCAACCGCTGCCCGGAGACCTGGCCAACCTCAGCCTGCACACCTCGGAAGCAGGCTCGTTTGGCTAGCCCTCTGTCTCTGGTACAAACACAGGTGGAAGATGTGGGTGTAGGTGTAGAAGGGGGAGCCAGCATAGAGAGTAAGCAGGAGCAGGCAGGGCATGGCCAAAGGGCCTTGCATGTACTGGGGTGCTGGGCGTGTACCTGGCATGTACTGGGGGACTGGGCATGCAACTGGTGTGTACTGAGGGGCTGTGTATATACGTGGCGTGTGGGAAAGCTGGTGTGCACCTTGGAGGCAGTAGCAGGCCAGAAGATTCTGAATAGAGAGTGACAAAACAGGTGCCCCATAGAAAGCTCTGAGCTGGAGAAGTGTGGATCAAAACTGGGGAGACTCTCAGGCTGGGAGAAGCCAGGGCAGTGGTCCAGGTTGAGCGGGGGTAGGGCCTGGTACAAGGGTGGAGAGGCTCCCATGAGCACACACTGATAATTCCCTAATGCCATGCCCTGGGGTCAGACCAGGACCCCACACCACCCGCCACCCCTGGCAAGCAGAGACCTCACCAGACTAGGGGAGAGAACCGCTGCAGGTGTGCTACAGGTGGGGCAGGAGTCCACCAAGGAGGAGGCCTCGTCTACACCCCTCAGAGATGGAAACCTGTGGGCACTCCCCCAAACGTCCACAGGCTCCATGTTACTTGTGACCATGGAGTTCTCTTTGGCATCCACCAGATTTAGTGGGGAGGCGGAAAGGGAAATTAGACAAAAAGGACCCAGGGTGAAATGTAACCTGTGTAGGTTGCGGTGGGCACCCCACAGTGGGCCTGATCTCTGACTGATCTGTCCCTGGGGCCCCAGAGCAAACTGGAGACAGGCAGGTAAGGATGTGGGGCTGGACTGCAACACAGCACCTATGGGAACCAGCAGCTGCCTCTCCTTTCTCACAATGAGAGACGTGGGGTCGAACAAATATTTCACTCCTTTTCCTCTCAAAAACAACAGTGCCCATGTGAAAATAAATTAGGTCTCAGGATTGGGAGACCCTAGGGCCAACTGATGGCACAGGCTCACCCAGATGGCATCACAGGTGCAGTGCAGAGCTTATGGGGTTTCCCAGTGAGGCCAGGGATTTGGATTCTCCTGTGAACCGCCCCAATCTACAACGCTGGATGAGGACTTAGAAATTCTGCCCAGGCACTATGCAGGCCAAATAAGGGACAGAGCCACCTGGGTCACAACAGGGCATGGGCTCCTCCTCCACCTCTAGGCTGTGTTTGGAGGTGATGAAGTTTGGCCACAACCCTGATGAGAGACCCCAGAGAGAACGATCTGCCTGCCATGTGCAGACACACGAGAACGGGACAGAAGCCTGGGATAGAAGCTGCAGGTGCCTCCATCTGGGCTCTCCAGTGTTCAGACCTGCCACATACACATTGTTGTGTAAGCCCATCTGTGGGATTTTGTGACAGCAGCCTGTGCTAAGACAGAGCTTCGACAAGTGAATGAATGAATGAATGAATGAATGGTGGGTCCTGTTCTGAGCACTCTATGTAGGGTGACTCATTTGATCCCACAACAGCCCAGTGAGACAGGTCCTGTCAGTGACCTCACTTTACATATGGGGAAACTGAGGCACAGGGCACTAGACAGCTTACCAACAACCCTAGAGTTAGTAAGGGGCTGGCCTGTAGAGCTCGTGGCAGAGGTGTGGGTGGTGTGCACGCTGTGGGGCCCTCAGGCATCTGCCAGGATCCCCACACTCACCATTTTCCGGATGGCGGCGTTGGAGTGGTTGGCGGCAGTGGAGATGAGCTCCAGGGACCCTGCGGGAGGAAGATGTGGAGTCAGGCTGCGGGGTGCCTGCTGGCGCCACACACACATCCTGACCTCACCAGGTGCTGCCCTGCTCCTGCCCTTTCCCTGCTCGGGAAGGGTGGGGCCCTGCAGACACACTCCATTTTGTGGGGGTCTGCGGGGGGTCTGCCAGGGCCGGCACCCCACTCCCCCTGCCGCCACAGTTACTGCCTGTGGACCAGGAGCTGCCCCTTCCTGGGGCCTGAGCTCGGCCAGCATCCAGCAGCCCTCTCCCCAGAACCGGTGTCCACCCCTCACAGTGCAGGGGGGGCAGACGGTTCTCTGTCCTCAAAGACTCAGTCCCTTCCCCAGCTGTGCTTGGGGGCACCTGGCTGTCTCCCCTGCTCTGTCCCGGTCTCTCTTCTCTCTCTTTGGCTTCCCAGCAGGGGCCCCGGCTCCCACTGCCCAGGAGCCTCACTTTCTGCATCCTTCCGGTCAGGGGCGTCTCCGGGGAGCCTCTTCAGATAGTCCTTGAGCAGCAGCTCGTAGCGGGGGACCCTCTGCACGGGCTCCAGCATATGGTGCTGCAGAGTCAGGTTCCCGCACACCTCCTGCTTCTGTGGGGGCGACAGACACACGCGTGGACCCTGGGCCCTCATCCCTGCTTATGGTGCCACAGCACCTGCACCCTGCTGACTGCAGACCACATTTACAGCTGGGTAAACTGAGGCTTGGAGAGGCTGCACAATGGAGCAAGGGCCCAGACTCCCAGTGCTAGCTCCTTTATACACGTCCTCACTGGAGTCCTTGCACCCAGACGACTTCTTTCCCTCACTGGTAACTCCCCCACTCCATCAGGGGCTGGGCCTGCTCCCCTCCCAGACATCAGGAGTTCTCTGAGTGCTGCTGTGTGTTCTCATAGAAATGCAACCCTGCCTGCGTGCAGGGGTGGGCTCTCAGGCCCTACCCTGCCCCTGCCCAGCAAGGCTCACAGGCTCCCTACCCCCTGACCCTCTGCTCCCACAGTGCCACCTCTGTGCTCCCCTCTCAGGTCCCCTCCCCTTGCTGCCCACCTCCTCTTCCTCGCAGATGAAGAGGAAGCACCCCTGTTGAGGCCCTGCTTGCCTCTTACAGAGTCCCCCTCGCCCCTGCCAGGGGAGGTGCACTGTCCACCCGCTGTTCCCCACCTGTCACCTGTGCCCACTCAAGGCCCACAACAGAACGGCTTCCAGCTCAAATGAGCTCCAAAGGCTTCACACACAACAGGCCTGGAGAAACACTGGCCTGCAACTGTCACAAACACGATCCTCCCGGCAGGGG